GCTTACAAAGGATTTGGTACAGAAAAAGCACTCAGCAAATATTAGCTTCATTTCAACACAAAGTTTTCTTAATGTGTGTGCTCTGGGGAGCTATTGGTACACGGTAAACAGTGAGCAGATGGGGAAATGGGCCTTAAGGGTCTTCAGTGACTGACCACAGAACTGAAAGGCAGCAGATCCTGGCGGTGGGCGTCACGTGGGTCTGCCTGGAAAAGAGCAGGGTGTGTCAGGGATGACGAGGAGCCCTTGACATCCTGGGGACCATGCCCCACTTGATTTGAGCCTCTGGATCCAGCCAACGCTGAACTTTTCAGTTATTTGGACCAGCACATTCCACGTTTTGCTTCAGGTGTTACAATTGGGCTTCTGCACCCATCACTGAAAAAGCCCTCTGTTTTTATCTGTGCATCTGCTAGGATGCTCTTGGTGGTGGTACTTACCAATGGCCAATTCACTGGGCTTACACAATGAGATTTATCATCTCACTGACAAGAAGTTCAAGACTATGTATTGGTCTTGGTGGCAGCAACATGGCTTCAACATGTTATGTCACCTCCAGATACACTGGTTAGAGGCAGAACAGGGACTATCTCTTTCAGCTGTGCTTCTAAAAAGAATATTTTTATTGATTTTAGGGAGGGAGAGGGAGAAAGAAACATCAAAGATGAGAGAGAAGCATTTATCGGCTGCTTCTTGCATGCCCCTACTGGGGATTGATTCTGCAAACCCAGGCTTGTGCCCTGACCGGGAATCAAACTGTGATTCATAGGTCAACTGAGTATTGGTTCATAGGTCAATTCTCAACCACTGAGCCAGGCCAGTTTGTGCTTCTTAAGAGACTTCCCTGAAGTTCCTCAGCAGACCTTCCCCTATAGCTCATTGGCCTGAACTGGATCACATGCTCGTTCCTAAGCCAATCCCTGGCAATGGAAACAGGACCACCATGATTGGCTGGGGCCCAGGCCAAGGTCCACCTCTCTGCAGCACAAGGCCCCACAGAGGGTCCCACATTTATCCTTTCTGCTCTAGTATCAACAGTCTGTTTTCTCTTCAAGTTCCATTCCATTTGCCTCACACATAGTTCCCTCCCATCTTGAGGAAAACTGACCTTGCACCCTTTCTAGCCACCATATTTTTTCCTTCCATCAGTGTTAGGTGGGCTCTTGGTTGGCAGAACTCAAAGGAAGTTACTGAGATGTGCAGAAGGGCTCCGTATCCAGCGTTTTCCTCTCGATGGACAAAGGCTCAGGGGCAGAACCAGGGCCCAGGAGGAGAAGTGCCAGAGATATAAGATAGTTGACAGTAGACTCTTTGTGAGGTAGTGAGTTCTCCACCAAGGGGATTGTTTAGGCAAAGACTGATGTCCCTCTCTGAGTCAATGCAGAAGGGCTTCTCCTGTTGGGAGTCAGTTTGGAATGGGGTTGTTGATCCATTCATTCATTTAGTCAACAAATATTTATTGAGCACCTATTATATACCAGGTACTGGGCTAAATACTGAGAATGCAGCAGTTAACAAGATAGGTACAACTCGGGCTCATTCAAGTTGTACTTGTTAACGGCTGCATTCTAAGAGCTTTGAATTTAGCAGGGGAGAGGGAACCTAAATGAGTAATTATACATGTAAGTGTATAATTACATGTGTGGTAGAATGATCCCTGAAGTTGCTTCAAATAAAAGATTTATGATTCTGTATATAAATTAATGCTTGGCTTAGTGCCTGGCACACAGTAGGTGTTCAGTATATGTTACTATTGTTTTTATTTCCTAACCATAGAAGCCTATGGCAATGTGTTTTTCTCCTCTGAACTTCTGTATTATTTGTGTCTCTGTATTACTCATTTGCCATTCAGCTATAGTTTTATCATTAAACTTTTATTTATCTTGTGACTACAATAAACTAAAAAAAATTACAATATTACCTACCCAAATGATGTTGAATGGATTTAATTGGTTTAAAAACAATTGTTCAGATTCACCCACTTCCTTGCGCATGTTTTGCAAACCAAGAACACAAATAATAAAAGGAGAGGAATTCCTAACATGCCTACCCACACCTCAATTTCTCTGGGCCAACAGCAGTCAGAGCAGAAACAGGGATATTACCCCCTTCTCTGCCCGAGAAAAGGAACGCTCAGATCAGTAAAGTGGTTTGCCCAGGACCTGGGCAGGAGGTGTAGCTTGACTTGAATCCCAGCTGGAATACAGACGGGAAGATGAGATTCAGGAAGGTGCTGGGACTTGCCAGAGGTCACATGACTAAATGGCAGCGCTGATAGAGGACTCAGGGCGCCTGACTCCCAAGCCTGTCCTGAACCATCCTTTCCCAATACCCAGGGTGCCAGGTGCCTCCCGCTGACCAACAGGTGCTATTAATACAGTAACTAAGGGGAGGGGCGGGATCCTGCACATCACAGGGGTGATGGTCACCGGGCCTGTTGGCGGGTCTGAGAACTAACTGGGCCCCTAGATACAGCCCAGCGTGGGTCCACAGTGAGCTCCAGTGGTCCCTTTAAATCTCCAGACTCTCATTCCTTTATCTCCCTTCTTTAGGCCACAGGCGGGTCTACTCTCCCTCCCCCTTATTTTTGCCTTAGGCATCCTGTGCTCATTGCGCCTCCTTGTGGCTAATAGTATCCACTGCAGCCTTGACAGCATCTGTTCTAGGAAAATCCGAGATTATAGAATGTGGAAATGGAAGGACCCTTGGAGATTATTTTACAAATAATTTCCATTCCCTCCCCGCCCCCCGCAGTGGAATTCTGGCTTCCAGACGAGTTTTGCAAATTGGCTGTCATTGAATATATCTTTGAGTAGGAGGGACACGTGAGGTTCAGGGTAGGAAATGACCCCCATCTGTTTACAGAACTCAAATCTCTTCCCTTGGGTGGAAAGTAAACTGCACCCCTCTTGCTTGCCCTAATTTCACTGGGCCTGGGACGGTAGATTCCCTGCCCCTGTCTGCTTCTTCACAAAACCCTAACCATCCAGAGAGCAGAGCCTGGCTCCTTAACAACTTACTGCTACTCCCGTAGCTGGGATGCAGTTTGTAATTGTTGGTTATGGAGTGACTGGCATGTTCTTCCTCTTTTTTAAAATTCAAGTTTGATTAATTCAAAATATGATGTACATTCACACTCAAGAAGTACAAAAGATTAAAAAGTGGCTCTGTTCTCTAGCCATCCAATTCCCCTTTAGGGAAGCAACCAACATTTCAGCTTTTATGAATCCTTCTAGAGATATGAAACATAGAGTATTTCTCTCTTCTTTTTAAAGTAAATGGACTCATCTTCAAACAGGTTTTCAGTCTGCCTTTTCACTTTACTATGCTCATATACACATATTTAAAAATTTATGTAACCAATTCACTAGTTATAACATTTAGATTGTTTTCACTCTTTTGTCATGAAAAGTGATGCTGCAGTGAATAACCTTGTAAATTGACCATGTTCACATGTGTACCTATGTAGGAAGAATTTCTAGAAGGGGAATTGCTAGGTCAAAAAGGAGTCGATGTCCCCACACCTTTGCCAACACAATGTGTTATCAAACTTTTTGACAAGTTCCATTACAAAATTAAATATAGATCTCATTTTAAGTGTGTGTGTGTAAAAATTTATGATAACCTCTTGGATTGAAAATCAGCAAAGGTATCTGGTGGTGTTGGCAATCTGTAGATTCTAGCCTCATATTCATAGAATGTAACTCTTGTTTGACTCCAAGAATAATTAAGGAATGGGGTAGAAAAATGTCAGGGGTAGCCAGCTGCTGTATTAAAGAGATTTTACTTGTTGGGAGCAATTTACCTGCAGTCTTTAAATGCATTTTATATATATTGAGTTGGGCCAATGGGTACATTCCTATATTTTCAAGAATTAAAAGCATAACCCGTAGGACAAATGCTTTGTAGGTTGATGTTCTGGATAACATTTTGGGTATCTCTTGATTATTTTAGGGAGATCACTATAGAGGTCAGAAAACACTCTTTGAAATCTGCTTCACAACCGTGCTTTGAGGAGTAAATGGTATGATGTCTGTGAAGCTTTTTGTCATAATACTTGACACGTAATAGACATTCAATAAAAGTAGCTGTAAGTATTAGTTAATAAACAATAATTGTTGCCGAAGCCGGTTTGGCTCAGTGGATAGAGCGTCGGCCTGCGGACCGAAGGGTCCCGGGTTCGATTCCGGTCAAGGGCATGTACCTGGGTTGCGGGCACATCCCCAGTGGGAGATGTGCAGGAGGCAGCTGATCGATGTTTCTCTCTCATCGATGTTTCTGGCTATCTATCTCTCTCCCTTCCTCTCTGTAAAAAATCAATAAAATATATTTAAAAAAAAAAAATAAACAATAATTGTTATATGTCGTGATGGCAGGCTAAGGGGCTACTTTGGTGATATAATCTGCCTTCTTGGAGTAAGGGCTCTGGAGTCTAGTAAATGCCTCGCTAGCACTCAGTGGCAGTGTGATTTTGAGCACATCCCCTAACCTCTTCGGCCTGTTCTCTCATCTGTCAAGTGGAAGAATAAAACCCAAGTCCCAAGGTTTGCCCCGAAGCTTAAATATGTAACACTCATAAATGCTTATTACCCATCCTCTTCTTTCCGTCTAATCTAATGGTGGAGACGTCGAACAACATTAAACAGCCCCCAAACCCTAAGAGATCAACGGGACCGCGATGAGGTAGACGCGGAACAATCAATTGTGCTCGGTGCGCCGCGAGCGGAAGGCGAAAGGATCTAGGAGGGCGGAGGCCCGGCTCGGGAGGCCCCGCCCCTGGGGACGCCGTGGCTGCGCGGCCATCACCCTGGCAACACCACCTTCCGGTCTGCTCTTTCCCCGCCCCCCACTTCCGGTGTGCATTACGAAATCGCTTGGCGACCCGATAAGGGTTTCCGGGAAAGGTCTCCTGGGCGGGGGGTGCGGTCCCGGGTGGGAGCGAGGTGGAGGGAGAGTTTCGGCCGGGGTCGCGGGGCCTGACCTCGCTGTGCCCCCCCGCGCTCGGGGTTCGGCGCAGCCATGGAGAACGGAGGGCGGCCCTCGCTGGGCCAGTTCATCCTCCTGGGCACCAGCTCCGTCGTCACCGCCGTCCTGTACTCCGTGTACCGGCAGAAGGCCCAGGTCGCCCAAGAGCTCAAGGTCAGTGCTGTCCCCGCCGGTCCTCTCTGGCTCCGGTAATGGTGAGCCCGCAGTTCGCCTGGGGCCGGTCCACCGGCGGAAACTCCCCCAAAGAGGAAATAGGCCCAGGAGCGTGTCCCCCGGGGCAGGAAATGGAGGACCGAGGACCAGAATTCGGGTATTGGGGTGACTGCTTCACGACTCCTTCTCTGCCAAGTCCCTCCCATGATTCAGAATATGCATCTTGGCTTCAATACTTGATTCAAAATATTGATTGAACATCTAAGTGCAGGCTCTGGGGACAGCGCTTGGGTAGAACAGACAGAAGCCCCTGCCTTCATGGAGGCTCCATTCTGCTACAACCGAGACAGACAGTGGACGAGCAGATCAGGCGGTGACAGGTGGGGATGCTGGAGAAACGGAGGTTTGCTGTTTTAAATAGGTGACATTTGCACAGAGCCGGGAGGAGGTGAGGGGGACCTGCAGATGTCTTGGGGAAGCGCGGCTCAGGCAGAGGGAACAGCAAGTGCTAAGCTGCAGCTCCTCAGCTGCTTGCTTCTACAGACGCCTCCTTTTTTAATATTTTAAGTTACTTTAAAAGTAACACTCTTCAGCCGCACCTTGCAGCTTACATAAGACATTCCCATCTTGTTATTTTTTTTTTTCTGCACACTAATTTTGGAGATAAAGTGAAAATTGCCTCCAGGTTGCAAATCAGGAAGTTGGGCGGACAGGAAAGGTCTTACAGTTAGTCAGGCTGAAACTGAAACTTAGATCTTTTAGTTCCACTTGTGGGATTTTTTTTTTTTTTCTGATTGAGGACATTGCTGTACTGTGAATGGCCCACGAGAAAGAGATGGACCTCATTAGGTTGGAAACAGGGCCCTTATCTTCTGATTCAGTGCTTGATTAGATGCTCAGTAAGTGTGGATTCATTTTGGCTGACATTTTTACACTACAACAGTTAGGGTTTAATTGGACATGTATTTGAAAGATGGATTCCTAAACCTACCAACTTCACTATCAGATTGTTTTCTGGTAGTGTTAATTGTGTTAGAAACAAATGTGTGAAATTCCCGCTGTGAGAGGAGTTTTGGAATCTATCTGCAGGGAACCAAGTTACCAAACAATTGAGTCTGTGGTGTGAATGGGGTCCTAGTGAGATTCCAGCTCCCCTGTTCTTCGCCTAATTAAATAACCAAATTACTTTGGAAGTGACTGGCTATCTGATACTTCACTTCCTGACTCAGAAATCAGGAATGGGCCTGATGTGGGATTCTTTGAAACGTTGAACTCCCCAGCACCCATTTTTGGATGATCTTCAAAGCTTTGCCAATTAGTTCCTAAGTGAGGATGAAATGGCCCCTTTTTGTAAAAAGATTTGGGACTCCTAATATTTTAGATTCTATTTTTTGATTAGATTACAGGACTTGTATAGTCAGGTTTGTGTGTTATCACTGTGTCTCTCTTATAGTGATGGGAATGCATGTTTATTGCATGCCTACTATGTGCCAGCCTCTGGGCTAGATTCTTTACATCTTAAGATTCATATAATCCACATAAAAATTCTGTGAGATCATTCTCCCCATCTTTTACACTTTTGAAAACCGAGACTTAGATAAATTAAGTTGCTCAAAGCCACAGGAGATGCATTGAAGCTTGATTGAGTCCCACGTCTTTCTGAGCATACTCCTCTTCCAGCCCTTTAAAAAAATTCTAACTGGCCATCTCCTGGTGGATACTTCACCAGCTGTGTGACTTGGGACAAGTCACTTCCCCTCTCTGAGCCTCAGTGTTCTTATCTGTAATTGAGGTTAATAATGTCTACTGTATAAGGATGGTGTATGCATTAAACGGATTTATAGATTTAAAGTGCTTAGCAAAGTGCTATAGCATATGTAAGAGCGTGTGTATTCATCAAATACGTACTGAGTGCCTGCTATGAGTCAGGCTCCGTTCTCAGCACTAGGGGGACAGCAGTGAGCTAGCCAAGCAGGGCCCTAACTTTCCTAGAGTCTCATAGTCCAATGGAGGAAGACAAATAATAAAACAAGCAAATACACCGTGTTAGCTGTTACGGTATTATTTTAAAAATTTTCTTACAGTGTAGGTGGTTAATAAGTGTGTGCTGACCTTGCTCATTTACTGTGTAGCAGTAGCTTAATCTTAGAGTGACCTTAATATGTATGCAGTATCTCATCTCCTCTGTAGAGGTAACTTATCTGGCATCCTTAAGATTTGTTGATGGGAGTACTGTGAAAGTGGAAATTGTCCTTCATTCATCCCTGAATCCCTAGCGCCCAGCACTGTGCCTGGCACATAGGTGCTCAGGAAATGTTTATTGATTTGATAACTTTTTTCATAGTTTTGCTAGAGCAGTAACAGGCTTGCTTGGTTCCCAAGCACAGCAGGTGGGAAACTGAATTGGAAGGGGTGGGAGAACTAGTGGTTGTCAGAGGAAGACAGCGGCAGATGTCGCCATGCACACCTGATTGTGAAAGGGAAGAGACAAACTGAAATAGAACAGTGTTTGGCACCAGGTAACAGACCCTTGCCTATAGAGCAAAGGCATCCCTTTATGATGGTGTACGATGCAGGGCGTGAGTTCATAAAGGCCTGGTGATAAGGGTGCCTACCAGTGCTCCAGCCCCTACCATGTACTTTAGATGCTTTACACATGAACCTTTGGATGTATGGTTCTGTATTGTCAAGAAGAGATTCAGATATTTTCAGCCTATGGTATACTGATTGATTCATAAGTTTCATTTAAAAACGAAGATGAAAAGGAGTGTATATTTCCATTAACTGGAGAAAGGATATGCCCAGCTGGTGTGGCTCAATGGTTGAGCATCGACGTAGGAACTAAGAGGTCATGGTTCAGTTCCCTGTCAGGGTACATGCCCGGGTTGTGGGTTAGATCCCCAATAGGGAGTGTGCAGGAGGCAGCTGATCAATGATGTTTCTCTCTCATCAATGTTTCTATCTGTCTATTCCCCTCTCTTTTCTCTAAAAAATCAATAAACATATTAAAAAAAAAAAAGAATATATGTGACACCCCGTTCTGCAGATGGTGGAGGGAGGCAGGGCCCCATGCCTGTTTGTATGATGAAACTTCTCAGACACAGCTTTGGAGTCTGAATCTACTATAGTCTCCTTCCAGCCTGATTTCCTCATTCTTTCAACATGAAAAAAGTAAATAGTCTTTCTTTTTTTGCCCTTTAAGTTTGATTGAACATGTCGGTACTCAGTAGTCAATTTAATATGTTGTTTGCATTTAGGGAGCTAAAAGGATCCACTTGGGTGAAGACTTAAAGAGTATCCTTTCAGAAGCTCCAGGAAAATGTGTGCCTTACGCTGTTATTGAAGGTATGTTTGTTTATTGGTAAAATGAAAAGTAACTTCCTCTTCTGAAAGTTTGTTCTTGGCTGATATGTGTATATTTGGGGCAGTAGTCCAGAACTTGGACTTGGGGCTCAGAAAGACCTGGAGTATTGCAGTGTGACCTTGGGGTTGCCCAGCCTCTCTGAACCTCTCTTGTCCATCTCTAAGAGAATTTCTACCTTACAGGGTTGTTGTTGTGCTTGGAAGAGCACCCACAATATTGTCACCATTGATACGTTGATAATATTGTCACCATTTTGTTTAGTGAAATGAACTCAAACTAAAAACAAAATTTAAATGACCTAAAGGGAAGGGCAGAGCAGTGCTTCAGAAATAAAATAATTGGTTTCCATGTAGGAGCTGTCCGGTCTGTTAAAGAAACGCTCAACAGCCAGTTTGTGGAAAATTGCAAGGGGGTGATTCAGCGGCTGACGCTTCAGGAGCACAAGATGGTGTGGAACCGAACAACCCACCTCTGGTACGTACGTAGCCTTTCTCTGCTGGCTGAAACCTGACGTCAGCTTCTCCTGAGACAGGGTGTAGGCCCGTTTCTTAATGTTGTTAATATTCTGTGTGTGGTCTGAGGACCTCTTAACTTAGAGTCACCTGGGCATCTTGTTCAAATGCAGGTTCCTGGGCCCTGTTCCAGACTTGCTGGATCAGTGTCTCCAGGACAGGGGCTGGAATTTGTTGATATGACCACCCAAGTTTGAAACTACTCACTTATGTTATGGATTAATGATTTCAATATTTATTAAAATGAATTTGTGGATTATTTTGCTTTAAAATGGAGTACTATTTTCCCAAATGACCCTAGTGGGTTTTTGTTTTGTACTTTATTTTATTTTTTTACTGTAGTAAGAACACTTCACAAGATCTACCCTTTTAACAAACTTAAAAAAAGTATTTTTATTGATCTCAGAGAGAAAAGGAGAGAAAGAGGGAAAGAGAAACATCAATGATGAGAGGGAATCACCAATTGGCTGCCTCCTGCATGCTCCTATTGGGGATCGAGCCCGCAATCCAGGCATGTGCCCTCACCAGGAATTGAACCGCGACCTCCCAGCCCACAGGTCTAGGCTCAACCAGTAGAGCAGCCGTGGGCAAACTATGGCCCGCGGGCCGGATCTGGCCCGTTTGAAATGAATAAAACTAAAAAAAAAAAAAAGACCATACCCTTTTATGTAATGATGTTTACTTTGAATTTATATTAGTTCACACAAACACTCCATCCATGCTTTTGTTCTGGCCCTCCGGTCCAGTTTAAGAACCCATTGTGGCCCTCGAGTCAAAAAGTTTGCCCACCCCTGCGCTAGAGCCATGCTGGCCTGGGTCCCTTTTAACAAACTTTTCAGTGTAACGGTACAGTTTTGTTAATTAGAGGCATACAGTTGTATAGCAGATCTCTAGAATTGGTCCATCTTGTGTAACTGAATCTTTGTACCCATTCAATAGCAGCGTCCCTTTTCTTCCCCTGCCCCTAGCCCTTGGCAGCCACCGTTCTGCTTTCTGCTTCTGTAAGTTTGACTGTTGTAGATACCTCATATAAATGCAATTACGCGTGTCTGACCTTCTGTGAGTGGCCTCGTTTGCTTAGCATAGTGCTCTCCAGGTTTATCCATCTTGTTGTGTGTGGCAGGATTTCCTTCTTTAAAAAAAAAGTTTATTGATTTCAGAGAGGAAGGGAGAGGGGGAGAGATAGAGCAACGTCAGTGATGAGAGAGAATCATTGATCGGCTGCCTCCTGCACACCCCACACTGGGGATCAAGCCCTCAACCTGGGCATGTGCCCTGACTGGGAATCGAACTGTGACCTCCTGGTTCATAGGTTGGTGCTCAACCACTGAGTCATGCTGGTGGGCAGGATTTCCTTCTTTTTATGCTGAGTAATATTCTTCTGTTTGTGTGTGTGTGGCATTCTTTCTCCATGCATCCGTCGATGGACACGCAGGCTGCCTCCATGTTTGGCTGTCGTGAGCAATGCTGTCGTGAGCATGGGCGAGTAGATCTCTCTTCGAGATCCTGATTTCAGTTCACTACCCAGAAGTGAGATTACTGGATCATCTGGTAGTTCTGTTTTTAATTTAAAAAAATATATATATTTTATTGATTTTTTACAGAGAGGAAGGGAGAGGGATAGAGAGTTAGAAACATTCATGAGAGAGAAACATCAATCAGTTGCTTCCTGCACACTCCCTATTGGGGATGTGCTTGCAACCAAGGTACATGCCCTTGACTGGAATCGAACCTGGGACCCTTGAGTCTGCAGGCTGACGCTCTATCCATTGAGCCAAACCGGTTAGGACTGTTTTTAATTTTTTAAAGAATTGGATATTTATTTTAAAGTGGCTAAAGGAAATAGATGGTAGAGGTGATCTGTGATGGTATTTGTTGCCCACTGATCGCCTGAGAACCTAACAAATTGAGGCACTTGGGTAATATTGATTTCTGTTGTCCTCTCCTAGCTGCGTCAGATTTTACCCTGTCCTCTGGCATGTATGCGACCTCCATCTCTTCCTGGGTGTGAGGTGTTTGCTTGTCCTTTGTTTTATCTTGAGTTCTCTTATTGTTTTAGGAATGACTATTCAAAGATCATTCACCAGAGGACCAACACGGTGCCCTTTGACCTGGTCCCCCACGAGGAGGGCGTGGGTGTGGCCGTGCGGGTGCTGAAGCCGCTGGACTCCGTGGATCTGGGCCTGGAGACTGTGTATGAGAAGTTCCACCCCTCGATTCAGTCCTTCACTGATGCCATCGGCCACTACATCAGCGGGGAGCGGCCCAAGGGCGTCCAGGAGACCGAGGAGATGCTGAAGGTTGGGGCCACCCTCACGGGGGTCGGTGAACTGGTCCTGGACAACAACTCGGTCCGCCTGCAGCCCCCCAAGCAGGGCATGCAGTACTACCTGAGCAGCCAGGACTTCGACAGCCTGCTGCAGAGGCAGGAGTCGAGCGTCAGGCTCTGGAAGGTCCTGACGCTGGTGTTTGGCTTTGCTGCGTGCGCGGCCCTCTTCTTCATCCTCCGGAAGCAGTACCTGCAGTGGCAGGAGCGCCTGCGCCTCAAGCAGATGGAGAAGGAGTTCCGGGAGCACGAGGCGCAGCTGCTGAGCCAAGCCAAGCCCGAGGACAGGGAGAGTCTGAAGAGCACCTGTGTCGTGTGTCTGAGCAACTTCAAGTCTTGCGTGTTCCTGGAGTGTGGGCACGTGTGTGCCTGCACCGAGTGCTACCAGGCGTTGCCAGAGCCCAAGAAGTGCCCCATCTGCCGGCAGGAGATCACCCGGGTGATTCCCTTGTACAACAGCTGACAGTCTCGAAGCCCCACGGTTACACATGAAAGGAAGCTCTCCCCTTTCAGGGGTTTTATCTCAAGGCCTTACAAGAGTATGGGGGGGGGGGGGAGGGGAGGGGCAGCTGCTATCTCCAGGTATGACTGAGGGAGGGAAGCCGGGGGGAGCCGTGCAGACCTCACACTCCAACCTGAGAGGGAACCTTCCCAGCACAGGAGAGTTCAAGCCCAGCCTGGGTGGGTGTGCTGGCCTGGCCTCCCTCCCTGGAGCCCGCCAAGTGCGACTGTGAGCACCTCATCGCTCCGGCGCCGGAGCCAGTGATCTTCAGCTCGTGCCCCCGTGTCTTCGGGTCCTTTCTGCTGACTCTGATTCTTGTGGACTTGAGCCTTAAGTGACGCAGAGGCGGGCAGAGGCGGGCTCGGTGTGACGCACGGCTCTCGGAGCTGCCTCTGGAGAGACTGTCCGGGTCTCTCTCCCTTTTGCTCACACCCCAGGAGAAAATTGTAAGGCTGGACACGTCACTATGGCCCTTTCCCCTCCCTGCTTGCCTCCTAAATGCGTGCACCTGTGCGTCAGGACAGGCGACGGAAGTCCAGCGTCTGCTTCTCCCGAGCAGGACACGACTCTGAGCAGCATAGTGGAGAGCGGTCACCTGGGGGTGGGAGTGGTGGGCTCAGTGGTGGGTTTGGAGGACGGCCAGCTGGCTGCCCCCCTCCTGGTGTCTCTGCTGCCCCCACCTGGCGGGGACTGGCTTTCCCTGCTTGAGGGGAGCTGCAAGGCCTCACCTCCCACAGGAAGCAATAAAAACGCTGCTGCCCCACCTCTGGCTGTCAGCTTCTCCCCCAGCCTCACCAGCCAGCACCCTGAGCACAGCCTTGTCCCGGCTCCCTCTCCCGCAGTGAAAGTCGGACATGCCTCGGGTGTAATCACATCGCCTCCCTCTTCGTTGCCTTCACCCCCCACCTGCCCCTCCTGTTTGTGAGTGGAAGAGAAGTGGTCAGCGGTCTCCACGGCTCTTTAATCCCTTCCCTGCGCCGAATGTTCATTCTCTACCGGTCCTCCCTTTGCGGGGGAGGAGGGGTGCTCTCAGGGGCTGGCACCACTTCGGTGTCCAGCGTGGACAGCACAAATTAAACATCTTCCAACCAAGCGTCAGCCTGTTGCTTTGCCAGTAAGGCTCATTGGTTAGGCCCAGACTCCCCCGGTGGAAGGGAAGCCCCCCGTGATGGAATGAACTAGAGACCTGGAGGCCTGGGTTTGGGGCTCCCACAGATTGCGGGCCTGAGGAGTGGCCAGCTCAGGAGGGCCATCCTGGAGGGCATCCCGGCCCTCCACGCCTGAAGAACTCTGTTCTGACATCCTGAAAGCTGAGCAGTGGGAGAGGGTTGGGGTGGGTGTTGAACAGCAGGGAGGAGACTCACATTCGGCGAGTAAGAGTGCTGAACTAGTGTGTGCTCTTGAACTTTGAGTTAATCCTCACAGAACCCTTGCAGGCTCATGGGATCTGCGTTTTCCGGATGAGGGAGTAACGCCAGATCTGTTCACTGGGCTGGGGGCACAATGCTAGTAAGCGCTGGGTCTGAAGTTGTTTCCAAAGCTCCCCATCCATCATCCTCACCGGCAACGGGGCTCATCCCCTCAGTGCTCCCAGGAACACCCTGTAAGACACTTGTGCCCCAAGTTACGAAGAGGCGGCTACTGTGAAGGAGCAGGTGTGAGTGGTGAGAGCCCACTTAGCAGGGCTGGTGTTCAGTGAGGCGTTAGGGCCCTGGTCATATAGAGCAGCGGTTCTCAACCTGTGCGTCGCGACCCCTTTAGAGGTCGAACAACCCTTTCACAGGGGTCGCCTAAGACCATAGGAAAACACATATATAATTACATATTTTTGTGATTAATTACTAGGCTTTAATTATGTTCAATTTGTAACAATGAAAATACATCCTGCATATCAGATATTTACATGAGGATTCATAACAGTAGCAACATTACAGTTATGAAGTAGCAACAAAAATAATTTTATGGTTGGGGGTCACCACAACATGAGGAACTGTATGAAAGGGTCGCGGCATTAGGAAGGTTGAGAACCGCTGACATAGGGCGGGGCAGGTGTTTGGGGGGAGAGGTGGCCCAAGGGAATGTCCTCTGAGCGCCTTGAACGCATCCACTCCCATGTCCTTGTCGTTTCTGCTGTGTAATTGGGTCCAGGTTTCAGTAGAGAATGAACTGCCGGGGTGAGGGGTGTTCAGTGGGAATGTATCAGAGTTCAGTCCTTGGCATAGATTTCATGAATAAATCTGGTCAAAGTGATGGAAAAGGAGGGAAGCCAGCCTGCGCTACCCCAGCCCAACTCCTGGGCAGACTTCGGCCTCCAGTACCCCAGACAGCCAGCCAGGGAGATGCAGGAGCAGCCACGGTCCCTGCCTCCGGAACAGCTGGTTGGGAACGCAGATGTGCACGTCCCCAGTTCTGCGTGTGAGGTCCATGCTCAGTCAGCCTGGCTGGGACAGACTGTCCCGGGCGCTCATCCACGGTGGCAGTTCCCACTTTCCATTTGAGGGGCCTTATCTGCAGGGGGTTGGATGGACTGATACTTGGGGCCCAGGTTGGGAGTGGGAGGTGACGGAGACAGGAAATTGGAAGTTAGTTCCCAACTGACATTGGGATTGTTGAGTTTTGATTCTTTGCCAAGTTGACCCTGATGCTCAGTCACTTCAATGCTAGGAGACAGCGGCAGGCAGGGGTCATCTTGAAGAACTGCCCCTGGTGTGAATGTCTGCGCTCAGCATTTTGAATGCATTAATGCTTGGCCTCCTATAAAGTGGGTGTTGTTATCCCTCCTCACTTTACAAGCGCGAGAGAGAAGCTCAGCGGGCTTATGTTTTGCCTACAGCCTCACATCATCGAGAGCCAGGCGATGTTACGTTCTTTGTTTTTTTTTAAAAAAAAAAATATTTTATTGATTTTTTACAGAGAGGAATGGAGAGGGATAGAGAGTTAGAAACATCGATGAGAGAGAAACATCGATCAGCTGCCTCCTGCACACCTCCTACTGGGGATGTGCCCGCAACCCAGGTACATGCCCTTGACTGGAATCGAACCTGGGACCCTTCAGTCCCCAGGCTGACGCTCTATCCACTGAGCCAAACCGGCTAGTTATGTTCTTTATAGGCTTTGCTGAACAATCAGGGCAGGCCGAATTACCCCTTTTTATAAGTGCTGTGATTTTCCCACAGCTACCAAGGTCTGACTATGAAGCCTACGCCCTTGGGCTTTTATCACATCAAGCCTGAGAGGCTAAGGAGGAAAGCTGTTCAATAGACAACGGGATTACAGACACAGAGTGTTTTTCAAGCCAGTCAGCATGACAAGTCACCAGTCACACCCTAGGGCCTAGGCCAGTGGTTCTCAACCTTCTGGCCCTTTAAATACAGTTCCTCATGTTGTGACCCAACCATAAAATTATTTTCGTTGCTACTTCATAACTGTAATGTTGCTACTGTTATGAATCGTCATGTAAATATCTGATATGCAGGATGGTCTTAGGCGACCCCTGTGAAAGGGTCGTTCGACCGCCAAAGGGGTCGCGACCCACAGGTTGAGAACCGCTGCCCTAGGCTCACGTACTGCAGCTGGAGGCTCTGAGGTTCCCCAACTCACCCTGGCGGAGGAGGAGCTGGAAGGCTGGTCTTTGGAATCCTAATTCATCCAGTTATGTTCAACAATTCAAGAAGCAGCCCCAGCCAGTTTGGCTCAGTGGATAGAGCGTCGGCCTTCGGACCAAAGTGTCCTGGGTTCGATTCCAGTCAAGGGCACGTACCTTGGTTGCAGGCTCCTCCTCAGCCTGGGCCCTGGTCGGGTCTCATGCAGGAGGCAACCAATTGATGTGTTTCTCTCACATCGATGTTTCTGTCTTTCCCTCTCTTCCACTCTCCCTAAAAATCAATGGAAAAATATCCTCGGGTGAGGATTAACAGCAATGACAAATAACAAACAAAAAACAAAAGAAAAATTCAAGAAGCAAACAACAATATGTGGAAAAAACTAAAAAGCAAACAACAACATGACAAACTCGGCCAATCTGACCCCCTTTCTTTACAACCCTGGGCCTGGGCCGTGCACACCCCAGCTGGGTGCTGGATCCGGGGCTGGTGGTCCCACAAGGGCCTCAGGGATGCGCAGAGAAGTTTCAGATCATGGGTGGGCATTCATCTAACATTTGCTACCTGTGCATTCTGCGCCTAGAGGTGCCGAAGTGAGTGTGACAGTCTGCCGTCGCAGGGTTCAGCCTTGTCTCTGAGCGTATCCTATCCTGCGGGTGAGGCGCCTCTCAGTGGTTGGCAATACTTGTGGTTCACAGGATATGGTCGCTGGGAATGGCTTTTGGCACTGGCCTGGTTAGAGCAGATTCCCTGACTATTCAAGATAGAGCAACCCAGGGCAGTCGCTCCTTGCTGAGGGAGAGCCAGGCAAACAGTCCACAGAACCTCGCCTGGTCTAATCACACCCGCCTGACCGAGCCCCTGGCCGAAAGCCCTTCCCCAGGCTCCCTTTTCTCTCAGGCCCAACCCCGGCTCCTCCTGCGTGTCCTGCCCTGGCCCCTCCCCACGGCCCTCCCCACCCCTCTCTGTATCACACCTGTTGAGGCTCCTTAGATGCGCTGTGCTGGTTCTTCCCCGCGCTCCCGTCTCTCTCACACAGCCGCAGCTCCCACAGAAAACTGTTCCCGACCCTCCCCACCCACGTTAGGGGCCCCGCCTCTGAGATCCCATCGTACAGACTTCCTACTCCTGCTCTTAACCACACTGCCCAGGTCCCCGGCAGGAACTCTATCTTATTTCTTCTCCAGGACAAATTGTGAGTTGTTACTATACACGAACTGGCTAACTTCAGTGCTTGCTCTTGGCTAGGTGCCGCTCCGTGCTGCGCGGGTATTGTTCACTCCTCACTCTGAGGCACGTGTGTGCATCGTTCTTACTTTAAAGAAAAGATCAAGGCCCAGAGGCCAAGTGTTGCCCAGGCACATGAGAGATACAACATTTAAACCCAGGCAGTCTGACTCCAGGGCCCGAGCTCTCTTTTTGTTTTTTCTTTTTTTAAAACATATTTTTGTTGATT